TGGCCCATCCCTTCCCTTCTCTTTCCCGAATCTCTTCCATTCAGACACACTCCCTCTCTGCTCAATCTCAGACTCTCCATGCTTCGTCTTGAGTCTTGCGTTGAACGTGGGTACAGCCCTAGGGTCATCCTCACTCGCCCACTCACTCCTCCGAGTGTGCTCCTCCCACTCACACTCTCACACTCACGCTCACACTCTCTCTCTCGTCTGCTCTCACTCTCACGCCCAAGCTCGCTCTCTCTGCTGAGATCTGAACCACATGCTGACGCTGCTTCACCCCACTCCCTCACATACTGCCCTCTGCTAGGCATGGACTGTATGGCTGCTTCTGTTTTTTGAGAATTCTCAAAAAACAGATCCGGCATGAACTGTATGGCTGCTGCAACTCCAGTTGCTGCGGCTGCTGAGGCCTCACTGTGAGAGAGGCACTGTGACCGCTGGCTGTGAGGCTGTAAGGAAGTAAGGCTGTCGGGCTTTAAGGATGCTGAATCGTGAGGCTTTAAGGGTGCTGGTCCGCCAATCACAACCACCTCCGCTCCTCCTGCCACTGCTCTGCCAGAACTGCAGGCTTGACACGTGGCACTAGGTGTGGGGGGGGATAACCCAGCTGTAGCTGCACTCTGTGCCAGTGACACGTCAGCACGTGGTGACTCAGATTGTGCCAACTCTGCACGTGCGTCCTCAAAAGAATCTATTTCCCGGAATCTTCCACTTGCTGACTGAAACAAGACAGATCTATCCTCGATAAAAGCAGACCCTATAGCAGACTGGAACAGCGAAGAGCCTGCATCCTCATCCCTTCCTTCATCAGTAGCATCCACGAAAATGGACTGCTGCCCAGCCAGTACACTCGCGCACATGCTAGAAGCTCCTTCGATATAGACATCACCATTCATGTCCCCATCCCCACCCGTCTCCTCTCCTCCATCCTCATCCTCTTCCTCACATGCACCCCTGCCCCCCCTCACTGCACCTCCACACTCCCAGCACCCCACCATACCCACTCTCACCCCACTGAACCTCACCTCCTTAGGCCCCCCTCCCAGCACCATTCGCGCAACCCCTCCCTTCAACCCATCCACGCCACCTCCTACTCCTCCCATTTCTGCTGCGCCTCTCACTCCCTCCCCTCCCCTCCTATTACTACCACCCCTATCGCTTCTCCTTGCATCTCCCCCTCCTCCCCCCTCTCACTTCCCCACTCTCCTCCCTGCCCCTGTCTCCCCTGCTGGTCCTCACCACAGACTACCCCTTCTAACCCTACCGAACCGAACTCTACCTCTTCTAAGGCTGCCGGGCCATAAGACAGCTCGTCCAGGCGAAAAACAACCCCCTTAGCATCCCTCCAGGCGCCTGCACCAGCCCTATCCCCGTAACAGTCACCTCCGTTACAAGCCTCTGCACTTGCAAGGTTGAACCCGGGCGTTCCGTCGTCAAGCACGATGCGAACCTGTACATGTGTTACGGAGACTTGTAACCGCTGTAACACTTTCTCTACCAGCCCTGCTACAAGCTGCAAACCCCCTTGAAATCCTGGAAAGCTCGCCCAAACCCCACCCCCATTACCTAATCCCTCCAAACCCTCCGCTCTTTCCTCCTCCTCCTCTTCTTCCCAATCTCCCTCATCTTCTTCGTCTTCCTCCTCCTCTTCCTCTTCAACTTCCTCTGCGTTCTCACTCCTCTTGTCAATCCCTCCTCTCTCACCTCCACTATTGCTTCGCCTGACTGCATACCCCCCACCACCTCCCTCCCTCGACCCTCTTTCCACCTTCCCCCCTTCCCTACCATCCCTCCCCCCTGATTGGCCAGGAGGCGACACCACAGCTACTAGGGATATCCCATCTAAGTTGACTGTACAAGGCTGGTTTAATGAGGAGAGTGTGACTATAGGGAGAGACGCGGAGAGCTTTTCCACGTGGCCTGAAACGAAGCGGATGGTTGGATGGGACTGCTTGGGCTTGTTCTGGAATCTTCCAGGGAAGCCTCTTTTCCCAGCTGCTGCAGCTGCTGCCGCCGCTGCTGCAGTTGACGATGCTCCCTTAGAGGCTGCGTCCTCGTTTCCGTTGTTCTCAAGCTGTCAAACATGTAAAATGCATACAGGGGAGTGGGAATGGGTGGAACGAAAAGCGAGGGGGAGGCCAGAGAGGTAGACTGACACCTACTTTTGAACCCACTTCACAAAGTAAACTCACCAGGGAAATGAGATAGCCTGTGTTAAGGCAGGGACCAGAGAGGTGAGCGGATAGACGCTGTCACGCCAACTTTGAGTTGACTCAACGATAGAAGCACCAGAGAGTTCAGACCTTTTCAAAGATCGCACAAGACGCACCAGGGAGTTGAGATAGTCCGTATTCAGGCGGAGACCAAAGTGGTGCACCTCCTTTGTATCCATTCAACAAATTAACTCACCAGGGAATTGAGATAGTCCGTGTTCAGGCGGAGATCAGAAAGGCGCACTGACGCGGACCCCAGATGAACCTCGATCTGCTCGTGGCTCAGATCGGTCTCCAGGAACCGACCCAGCAGGCGACCCAGGACGAACCGAGCAAGCCGGCGAGTAGCCCATCGAGGCAGCATATTGCTGAAACCCCAGGAATATGGAGCTGGGTCAAGTGAAGGGACGAATGAGCTAAGCTTCTCAACAACCAAAAAACGTTCTTAGGCGAACCTAAACTAAAGCAGCCCACCGAGACAGCATTGCGCTGACACTCCGACACTGTGGAGCTGCTCTGTCTAAGAGTTGGGTTATGTAGACTGAATAGCAGCCAAAAAAAAGTGAGAAGTTCGAGACGTAATTAAGCGAGAGTACGCAAACTGTGCAACGTAGTGGTGAAACTCTAGAAATTGGTCCTGTCTCAGGAATCAAAGCTTGGCTCCTGAGCGGTCGAAAAGAATGACAGGGAGTTTCCCTAGGACTGAGTAGAAAATCTCAAGATTCTGTACAAGCGGCAGTTTCACGACAGTACTTACACCTTCACCCTGTGAGTAATTTAGCTGTCTAGAACCTATACCGTGGATATGAAGCATTCTAACCGAAGCGCAATCGATTCCTTCCGTAACTACCGTAACCGCACGGATTAGTGAACTAATGAACGAAAAAGGGTAAGCCTGGTTGTGGGGGGAGGTGAAAGAGCTGTTGAAGAATTTCTCTGTTGGTTGCTCTTGAAATGGTTCGGGCCATACGTTTCATGGGAGTTTGGTGCGGTTATCTGACTTTGAAAGTGTTTCATTAAACATATTGAAAGGTGAGCGGGCCTTCTGAGAAGGCAGCTGCTTGAGCGGGAGTGGATTCGAGGCTATCACTGGCTGTTCTTCTGAGGTGTTCCCGAGGGGTGCTGTAACTTTGAATGGGGAAGAGTTGAAACACCACGCAAGCGCCGAACGTACGAGACGGGTGTCAAGTTCTAACTGGGCACGTTATTGATGGACACGCCACACTGTGTCATCGAACCCCACATAGCCTTTGATGGTGTCTGTATGGTTGCTCGCAAATCGTCAGACAAGTCTGTATGGTCGTTGTGTTGTGACAAGTTGCGTTTCCGTCGGGGCCAACATCATAGACATGCAAATTAGTGTGGTAACCCTATCCAATGGTATGCAAAACCGTCTTACCTCTGTTTGCAAGTTATTGACATGCTGCCCTGAAAGCACGTTCGTTTTTAATTCAAATTTGATCTTTACCGCGCTTGCCTTCGCGCTAAGACGTGATTTCTTCGGGCCAAGAAAAAAATAAAACCCGATCGGAAAGGGATGCGTCAGGGAGGCATCAACCCTAAAGCAATGTCCTTTCCCGTGTTAAGGGTTGATCCCTCCCAGAAATGCGTCCAGGTCCCTAGGGGTTTTATTGTTTTTCTGCCCTGCCCCTACATTTCCCGGTAGCAATATATTGGTCCAAATTAATGTTATCGAAATGGACCCCGTAGCCTTTCATTCCAGTGGATTTTTCGTCACATTTAGCGGAAAATAGTAGCCGGCAGGAATATTTGTTAGGCGCCGAACAAGACGCGGTAAGAACCACGACGATACGAAATCGAAAACGCAACTGATTCAATCCCATATTTTCTTCCTTTTCTGTGCTGCGTCAGCTGTTACACAGTGTTTTGAGTGGCGCTACCAGACAATTTTGCGCAGCAGAACTGGGGTATCGACGGTTTTGCATACCATCGAATAGGGTTACCAGACTAATTTGCATGTCTATGATGTTGGCCCTTTCCGTCGCTCACGATTTGCGTTTGTCACACCACAACGACCAATCAACGACCAACATAAAGTTTCGCACCAAGCCAAACCGCACATCAAACTTTCTAGAAATCGTACACGAGGCACGAGATTCGTTCGCTTGCTCCTCGACACCAAACACGAGCTTCCCTGTTTTGGAGGGTGTAGTTGTGGTAATGACGAACGTCGCTAGGGGGACTGGTTACCAGTTTGTGAATTCTGAACGCTCTGGCACTGATCTGTTGGCGGGAAACAGGTGTTCTTTGGAATCTGCTACTTTTCTTTTCCAGCCTTTAGTTTCCAGCAGTAAGAATGAACGACTGATAGCATCAGTCGGAGCTTTAGCTAGTTCATGCTCCTCGCCTTGACACCGATCCTGCTGGCGCAAAACAAGCTTCTCCTTATGGAATCTTCGAACCTCCTCTACAGCCTAGTTGTATCCAGCATGTTAGTCCGAGCATTAATTTGAGCAGTGATTAAAGGAGCACTTGGATTTCATGGATCGGTCTGTCTGCTGAGGGGATCTATTGCTGTCTACCAGGCTCGCCTCTGCTAGGGTTTTGTCACGTATCTCGCAGCTTCCCCAACTCCGCTTGCGTGTGACCTGACCATCGAAGGACGGCGGTCCTTCTGCCTGATGTTTCATAGAACAGATTTCAGGCGTTGTGGCAATTACCGCTACTGATTGTTTCTAATCACTCTAACATGATGGATTCTTGACTGGTTGGGAATCTTTGCTTACGATACACGCTGATCCGCTTTCTGAAAGGCTAGCTGGAGCCATGGATTCAACGCTGTTGCTGTTGTTCGCTTACGTGGTACTGCTGGGTTTCGGGCTATTCGTCTTTCTGTTTGGGGAATCGGCTTCATTTGATGGCACCGTTATAAGCTCCGCGCACTACTGGATCACGTCAGGAGTTTTCGAGATTCCGTTGTACGTTACCTTATCTGGCGGGTAACCCGCACATCAGATTCGAAAAATTACAACAAATTCGTCATTTTCCTGTAACGGCTAGACATGCACAGCATTGTCAACACAGTACAACTGCATAACATCCTCTTTACCTCGAGTCAACTTTGGCTGTCATCCTTCATATTGCAAACTGTACTGATCCCCTGTGTCATCTCTCCTTACAGTTACCTTCTCGGTTTCTTCTTTGGCGAAAGAGGTGAACGAGCTGGTGACGTCATCTTCCACTTCTGCTGCGAGCAACGAAACCCTCTTTTCCAGGTTTCTTCTGAAGATGTTGTCCATGCATGTCAACTATCTTTGTCCCAGCTGGCTAGTAAAATGTACTTTTCTATTTGATCAACTGAAGCCAGAGTCTCAGATTCATGACTTTTATGAGTACTTTTTGTATTTGGTGTCCCACAACAGATCATCTACCTCGTCCTCGTGATAGGAGGCTACTACGCCTTCCACGTCTACTGCATGAGCTTCATCCCCGGACCCTACCTCTCCGCCATCCACAGGTTCTCCCCTCCTCCTTTCGCTCACCCATCCATGTCCCTCATTGCGTTACCCATCTGTAGGTCGCTCTTTTTTAATTAAACACCCTGCGCTCCCAAACCACAGGCCCTCCCGTCCTTTCTTCTCGTATCTCCCCTTCTTCCCTTCTCTTTTTTTCTCCACTCCACCAGCGTCCGTGTGTCTCATACTGCACAGGTTTCATGCCTCTCCACTCCTCACAACTGTTTATGCGTTTCCTTTGTTTCATTATCAACTCTCTGCTACCCTCACGACGTACTGTCCTCTTCATCTACTCTTCCCCTCTTAGTTGATATCTCTCTTCCCACACTCTCCTGTCTCTCCCGTCTCTCCCGTCTCTCCCGTATCTCCCGTCTCTCCTGTGTCTCCCGTATCTCCCGCCTTTCCTCCCTCCCGTCTCTTTCAAGTCTCCTTCTCAGGTACACGGCCCCAGCATCCCTCATCGCCACCCTCACAACGTTCCTTATAGCGAGTATATCCGACCCCGGTACAGTCACATCCGCTACAGTGCAGCAGACCCAGGCACTGTATCCATATGATGGGGTCATCTACACCAGACGATTTTGCTCCTCCTGCAAAATACCCAGGTATAATATTGTTTGCTTCGAAAGTTTGGTAATATTTGCCTTGTTCCTTTCTCTCCTACTTCCTCCCCACTCTTCCTCCCGCGTTTGGCTCTCGTAACTCCTCAACCCGAAACCCGAAACGCTAAACCCTAATATTTATTCCCCCCTCTTTCTCCCCACTCTTCTTCCCCAGGCCAGCACGAGCCAAGCACTGCAGGGTGTGCAACCGTTGCATTTCCAGATTCGACCACCACTGCGGATGGGTGGTGAGTGGTGCTTGTGTGGTGTTGTCAGATGGTGACTGGTGCTGCGGGGTTTTGACAGATCACACCGAATGTTTCCAAACAGTCTCTCTTCCTAGCATGTGTCTGCCTTTCAGCCGGCCCTTCATTGGCATTTTTAATCCTTCTGAGAGATTCACTCTTTCTTTTTCGCCCGCTAACCCCGCTTTCAGAACAACTGCGTTGGGGAGAACAACCTTCGTTACTTTCTGCTCTTTCTCTTTGCGTGAGTGTGTGGAGGCATTCGGAGATTGATGGGGTGTAGGAAGGGGAAGGGATGTGGGATTGGTGTGAGGAGGGGGATGTGAGGGGAAATGGATTGAGAGCCACACACACATAGAATTTACACATGCGCATGGATACACACACACTCGCACAAACACACGCACACACACACACACGCACACACACACACACACACACACACACACACACACGCGCGCGCGCGCGCGCGCGCGCACACACACACACACACACACGCACGCGCGCACACACACACACACACACACACACACACACACACACACACACACACACGTGTTTGGTGTCTGTTCCATCCTGACCGCATTGACATGCCCTTCAGCTGGCCCCCTCCCCCCACCCCTCTCTCCACTCCCACTCCTTCCCTTCAGAAACATTTGCTTTCTGCCGTACGGTGTGTTTGGCGTGTGCTCCATCCTGGCTGAATCAACATGCCCTTAACCAGCCCTCCCCCCACCTCCCCCCACCTCTCCCCACCTCCCCCCACCCACCCCCACCGCACTCCTCCTCCTCAGGAACATCTGTTTCCTAGCGTACGGTGTGTTTGGCGTGTGCTCCATCCTAGCTGGAGAAATCACGCGCCCTCTCCTCCTCCCTACACATCACCCGTTTTCTTCCTCTTTCCTCCCTTCAGAAACATCTGCTTTCTGGCGTATGGCGTGTTTGGCGTGTGCTCCATCCTGGCAGGCGAAATCACCCGCAGCAAAGTCATCGCCGCGATCATAGGTTTGTGTCAGGTCATGCCTCGTTGTCATAACTGCCATGCCATCGTAGGTGTGTCAGGTCATGCCCTGTTATCATCATACCTCCTGTGTTGGTTGTCGTCTCTTGAAGCGTCTCATCTCAGGACAACAAGCGGTTATCTTCATAGTTGTAAGAATCCATGCCTTCTCCTCACCTCACTCTTTAGCAATAGCACAAGAATCAGTCACCTTGTGTCTCACAAGGGGTCCTTAGCATTGGTATGATCAAGTGCTTACCTCCTCTTAACCCCTCCCTCCTCCCTCCCGCCTCCTCCAATTTTTTCTCAACTGCAGAGCATGATCCGTCCAGGTCCCACGTTTCCGGCTGGCTACCTATCCTCATTCAGGTGAGCTGAGGGAGCCGTTTCAGCGAGGGACAATTGCTGGTTGAGTCAGCTCTACTTGAGAGCATGATCCCTCCAGGTCCCACGTTTTCGGCTGGCTGCCTGTCCTCATTCAGGTGAGTTGTGAGGGCAGTCTGGAAAGGGGGTTAGCTGAAAGACTATTGCACCCATTGCCGGGGGCAATAATTGAGTCATCTCTACTTTCGAGCATGATCCGTCCAGGGCCCACGTTTTCGGCTGGCTGCCTATCCTCGTTCAGGTGAGCTGCTGCTAGAGCAGCCCATTTCCACCACCAGTGCCCCTTGCTCGCCTTTTTCCTCGTTGTTTCTGCCCCCTGCTCCTGCTCTCTCATCCCCCCACCCCCTTTCTCCTCCTCTTCCTCCGCCCATCCCCAGTGGCCCACAGTTTAGATTAGATCCCCAATGCTCTCTGATCCTCTTCTATCCAGCTTCTATAACTGCCTTCCCTCTCTTCTCCCGACTCTCCTCCTCCCCTATCCCCAGTGGCTCCCTCACAGTCTACTTCCACTGCCAGTGCGCGCTGCGCCTCTTCTTCGTCGTTGTTTCTGTTTCTGCCCTCTCATCTACCTGAATTCCCCTCTCCTTCTCCTCGTCCTCCCATCTCCAGTGGCTCACAGTCTATTTCCACCGCCAGTGTGCGCTGCTCCTCTTCTTCCTCGTCATCCTCGTTGTCCTCTCCTGCTTCCTCCTCTACCACCTCCACTTAGTTGCCACTAACGTCACCACCAACGAGGTACGCATAAGCGTCCCTAATGCTTCTTAATCTCTCCCATCCCGCTCCCACTCTCCTCCCCTCCTCACCCCCCAATTAATCATTCTTATTCTTGTCATCCTCGTTGTCCTCTCCTGCTTCCTCCTCTACCACCTCCACCTCGTTATCACCAACCTAAGTTGGATATTACGCTTACGTTTACGTACGTTTTACGTTTACGTTTACGTACGTTTTACGTTACGCGCAAGGTGCTGGAATGAGTTTACGTTTGCGGGCAGAATTTTTTTTCTTTAGCTGCCCGGCTAAAGTAAAATTTTTCAAAGGGGTTCGGAAATGGCAAAATCACTATATGAGATAAATCTATACACGCAAAAAATATTACGCATCACAAGGTGAGGCATGTTACTTTTTGCAATGTGTACAAACCAGCTCGCGATTTTGCCCCGATTTCACCCGATATCGGCAACGCGTCCCCCCGATTCGCTACTCCAAGTCACTACCCTCCCACTTCTACTATCTTACGCGAGACTCAGAAGGTGCTAGTGTGTTTAGATTGACGACCTGCCACTTCGTAGATCGATCTACCATGACGAGCTTTAATGTAGAATCCCTACCTTTACTCTATAATTTCTAGTTACGACCTAACTTCTTAACATCTCGCCAGGCTGTATCCGCTGCACTGAAAGGTCCCGTAGCAACATTCCGCCAAAACTATAGACCGCGGAAACAATTCGGCTTTTTTTCCACTCGAAAAAATTTACCTGCCCAGACTCAAGTTACGCGTATTTACGCGTACGTAAACGTAAACGCAATGTTACGCGTAACATTACGTTTACGTAGCTCCAGGGACGTACGGACCCATCTTAGTCACCAACGTCACTACCAACGAGGTACGCATCTATTACGACTTAGGTGCTCTCCTCCCCCCTCCCCTACCCTCTTCCTCATCATCCTAGTTGTTCTCTCCTGCTTCCTCCTCTACCACCTCCACCTTGTTATCACCAACGTCACCACCAACGAGGTTCGTACATACATATTGTTTCTCTGTCAATCGGTACTCTCGCCTTCCCACCCTCCCGTCCCCACTGCCTGTAATGTTTTCCTGTCCCCACCCACTGTAGTGGTTTCGTGTCCCCAACCCCTAATGGTTTCCTGTCCCCGCCCCCAGTGGCTTTCCCTCTGTCAATCAGGCTCTACACCTCTCCCCCCACTTCTTCCCACCTTGTTCAAAGCATTGCTGTGGTACATTTCTTTTTGTAACCATCCGTCCGTGCCTACCCGGTTCTTACCACTTTTAACCGCATTTCATCCCCTCGACCTCTTTCACCTGTTTTCACCGCTTCCCAACACTCCAGACGTACAAGTGGGCTGACTACCGGCGGTGGGTGGCCCACGAAGCTTCCAGGATGCTGCAGCAGAAGCAACGGGACGAAGGGGAGGAGAGCAGGAAAGGGGGAGCAGAGAACGGTGAGGGGGAGAAGAGGGGGGAAAGCTCGGCACACAGAATGAGGGTGATGGAACATGAGGGAGAGAGGATGGAAGGGACAGTAGGGAGGAAGACTGAGGGGGAGAATAGGGAGAAGAGGGAAGAGGTGGAGAAGGAAGGGGGAGAGGAGATGTTAGTGAAGGAAGTTAAGGGGAGTGAGACAAAGCAGGAAAGGAAGGCGGGCAAAACTGGTGTGAAAGCAAGGAATGATGGAGAAGCAGGGACGGCCGAAGGAACAGCGGACACAGCAGCTACAGCAACCGCAGCAACACCACCACTGCCAACAGAAGCAGCACCAGCAGCAGAAGTGCCGCGTGTGTCAAACAAAGGCGAGAAGCCGGCGAAACGAGGAAGGCAAGGAATGGGAGCTAAAGGGAAGCAGCAGGCAATCGGAATCGACTTTTCGAGGTTGCAAGTGCGGCAGTACGGTGCTGGGTGGTTCTCTGGTCTGTGGTCGTCGGTTTTTGGCGAGGGCGGAGGAAGCGAGCGTATTCGAAGAATTTGGGTTGATCCTGCTAGTGTTCCTGTAGAGAATGTGTATAATAGAGGGATGGTTAATAATATAATGGAGGTGTTAGCACCGGGGAGGGTTTATGGTGTGCGGCCGAAAAGGTTAGGCGTGAGAGGTAATGGTGAAAGTGGGGATGAGAGAGGGGTAGATAGACGAGGCACTCAAACTCTAAGAAGCAGGAAAAAACAAGAGTGACATGTTTGTATGAAAGAGTTTTTGAGAAGTAGAATCTTCATGCAATGGATGAGCATCCTTACTACATTGTCATATCGTATTGTGTGCGCGCAAGAGCGCGTGAGCATGTTATACACAGGTAGTTTTTATGTGCCCAAAGAGCATTCCTGAAGCCAAGGTATCCAATGGAGACAGAGGTAGGTAGGCAAGTAAAAAGCAGCGTCTGCCAACCAGACCCTTTTGAATAAAGTGAGAAGTTTACGCAGTTACCAAAAAATGTTATGGAAATACATCATTACAAGAGAGAAACCTGATTAGAGTTTGTAGGATTCATGCTTGATGAACACCAATAGCTTGAAACACAGATAATAAATTCATTCATAAATACAAACAAACGGAAGCCATACTCCAAACCACTGTTTCAGATCAACCACAAGCGCTTATCGCGCCGCTTGGGCTGGAACGCATACGCGTACGTACAGGGGTTTTCGCTCCCCTACGCTTCTCTCCCCCTGTTCCCTCGAATCGTTCCCTTCCGAACCAAGTTCTCTATTTCTTCTCGTCACCTCACAAGCCTTCACAAGTCAGTCACAACAATCCGTCTTTCACCTATCTGGTATTAGCGGTTTTAGGGGGAATCGTCTGCATGACACACGTGTTGGCAGTAGCAGTGGTAGCTGAGCTGCCTTTCCATCTGATGTGAGAATCTGTTCTACACATACTTTTGATGTGCCCAAATAGCATTCTTGAAAGTTGAGCAGTCATAATGAGGCAAAGCTGAGGTATCCAGAGGCGACAGGGGGAGGCAGTTAAACTGCAGCATCTGTCAACCACACAGACCTAAAAATTAAGTGATTATCGTCTGCATGACACACGTGTTGGTCGAAAGGTCCCAGGTCTTCGGAACCATGAACTTCATATTCTTGAGCCCCACGACGTTGTACTCAAAGTACTGACCTTTCGCATTCTTAGCCGGTAGAAGGGGTTCGAATGCATCAGGTAGTGCTAGGCACTTTCCGACGCTTTCGTATCTGTCAGCGTCGAACCAGCCGAACTCATCGGGATTCGTCGCAGGTCCCGCCATGCTGTTAGCGATCGAGAATATCATCGAGTCGATCCCGGGGTTGCCGTTGGGCGTCGGGTTTCCCTTTAGATAAGCCATGCAATCTTGGCATCCATCGGGATTAACCAGGAGTGAAAACGCGACACCCTGACGGTCCGACGCGGAGGTCGGCTGGAGATACCCCATGGAGTGGAATCCGCAGTTTTCTGTGCAAAAGCCATCGCTTTTCACGTTCTTGCTCGCGAGAATCAGATAGATGCCGTTGGCGTCGTAGGGAAACGGCTTCTTGGGGCCAATTTTGCTGCGAACAACTGTGCTACGGTAACAAAAACGAAAAAAAAAAAAGGAAAGAAAGAAAGAAACCGCACGTGTGACGATTAGATTCAGTGATAAGGGGCGAGAGGCTAGTGAGAAGGCAAGCATGTCATTACAGGAGAGGGTAAACGGTTTGACGTGATGCCAGCAATCAAACAGGATACATGTACTTGCGAAAGGACGACACTTCTGCTGAATAAGTACACACACCTTCGAAGGCAGTGCTTTCATTGAGTTTCGTCCCCGCGGATCCTTTGTCTTGGATTACCTTCGCGACTTTCACCTGGGAAAGGCGGCAGGGAGGGGAGGGGGAAGGGGGGGGGGGGGTGTGTGGGGGGTGGGGGGGAAGGGGAAGGAGGGAGATTTAATTTCATGAAAACCGCCGCAATTCTGTATCTTACAGAAAACAAGTTCGTATCGTTCACCAGTTTATTTGGTTGCTTTCTCGTCCTGGACATTCCGAGGTACCGTAGCTGACATACCTTCGTGCTGACGAAAGACTTTGTCTCGTTCTCTGCCTCCGAGTAGTATTTCGTATTTGTCGCCCACCAGTAGCTCACTTTGGGATCCCCAGCTGCACCCTGCTTATTAGCGCTTCCCAGACTCATTGACGAGATGAAATTCTCAATTATATTTTGTCCCGCTTTTGCTGGCCAGGTGCCATAGTAGATTATGTACACATTCAGCGTCGCGCCGCTCAGCACGCGGCCGCCGTGGTATTTGATGGGAACGACCGTCGTTTCCGTGACGGACGACGCCGCGAGTCCCTGTTTGCCGCGTCTGTTGCGTCGCTTCGTGTCGAAGCTGGTTATAGTTCCGAGCATCTGCAGAGGTCGCTTAGGGTCGCCGCGCGGGTTGACGACGTGGATCAGCTTTCCCTCACGGCCGCTCAGCTGTCGCACGCGAGGGACGCGGCGCACCGGGCCGGCGAATGCGGGTGGGACTATCCAAAGGCATACGAGCATCGCCGAGAGAGCAAGCAGCAGGGGACTGAGGATTTTTGCCATGGTGGGGAACAGCGAGACTCTTGCTGAATTGTCATTGACAGCTTCTAATAATATAGTCCTGCGGAGGGCGGCTCGGGTGCGAAAGCAAGGAGTGAATGGGACAGGACTCGTAGACTTGTCTAGACAAGGTTGGGAGACTTGGGCCTAATTAAGAAGTGAATGGGACAAGTTTACTTGACTCCGCTGGACAAGGTTTGTACTGTACCCCTGTACAGTACAGCTGATGCTCACCCCATACATGCGAATTTGCCTTGCGCCGGATGGATACGCTGCACCCGAGGTTGTTTCCCCAGCTTCATGCACCTACATTACAAGCGCGTCGCGTGGTTATCAACCAGTAGTAACGAACAGACCGACGTCAAACTAGGTACAGACCGAAGTCAAGCAGAGGAGACTGAAGTCAAACTAGGTTACAGATCTTGTTTATAAGCACATGCGAATCATTTTTAGCTAGCTGCGAATTGCCGAAACTTATGCGAAATGCTCGTGACAGCTTATACGCCCCCTTCGTAAGGCAACCGGGAGGGGCTCAAACAGGCATCAGGTGGGAGGGAGCAGGGCTCTCGATTTGTTTTGGTGCACTTCGCCAGGTCGAACCTGCAAGCCAAGGTAATACCTGCCAGAGACAGACCTGTGTTGTGACCGAGCCTCACCCGCAGCTTTGTCAACCAGGATGTTTGTTTGGGATGTCGGAACTTGCAGGGTTAAAAGTTTCGTCTAGAATGATTCCTTCCTGCTGCCGCAAGACTGACTCTCTGTCGGGTGTAGTGGGAGAACATCGCGAAGAGCACACACGCTTTTGAAGGGAAAAGGGCTGGTATGGAAGGTTGGAAGCAGAAACGACCGTCCGTTTGTCGCTCGCTCCAATCGATGGGCTTCCCGAGACGGAAACCTGCCCGAAATTTAGGGTTGATGCCCCAAAACAAGGCTTCCGTTTTCTCTCCCCCTGCTCTAGTTACTGCTCATTGTAGTAGCCCTGCTGATCGGTGCGTTGCGGGTTTTGTTCCACCTGAATACCTAAGGCGGGATGAATGGAGGGTAGATGACGAGATACTCAATCTTATCGCTTATTTTCTCCTCTAGAAGGTTTGTATTTTACCAAGGACTGCTCGAAACGCGTACGCATCTTACCTTCGCACCACAATGCACCTGTACTAAAGTTTCCCGTTTACTTTCGTGCTAGATAGTACCTACCGACGAACTTTAATCCATAGTCGTCAGCGGATATTCATTTAGTGCCCTTAGTATGTTCCCCCAAAGGCGCCGAGAATCAGCTCGTTGACTTGTACGCTCGCAGACTCGTAGTCTCTTTGACTTGAAGAGTTATCGGCTCGTTTTAGGTATATCCTACACCCAGCTCGTAGAATTGTTTCGCGGATCAGCCTGCGAAACGCCGAACCCTCATGTCGTCCGCAGGTAAAAAACAATCTACCGGGTGGAACTGGGGAAACTGGGACCGGGGGAGGTGATTCAGGGAAGGGTGCATCCCAAAAATGGTGAGGTGTGTGACGTAGGTTCTGAAAAGCCTACGTTTGCACCTCATTGCTATGGCGCAGGTTTAGGGTAAGTCGAGCGTAGGTGCGCGGTACGTTGCCGCAAGTTGAGCGCAGGTTCAGCGTAGGTTGAGGGCAGGTTTCGAAGCTGACGCGGAACCAGCCCAAGGTTCGAGCTTGAAGTTGCGGAACGTAGCTTTCCAGCTAGCCAAACCGAACCACCCGAGCCTTTCTAAGCCGAGCTTCGAACCAGCCTCGTAAATCATTTGTAGAAAGCTGTACAATTTGTTAAGTTAATATTTGCCATCTGTATACCGTGTTGTTTACTGAACTCACTTGCTACCTTTTGTCAATCAATGATTTGCCAGATTATTTCAATGAATTGTGGTCCAGTCACACAATGGTTGTTAGGAATAGTAAATAGAACTGTGCATTCCCATTGTATAAGCCTATCTATGTGCTTGTTATAATAATCTCAGTCATTTAAATTCACTCCGACCCGAGGTCAAAAGGGCCCACCACGTGCTGCGTAGTTGTGCGAACGAGGTCAAACCAGTTCCTATGGCTAGGGAATAGGATGTACTAGGGAACTGTGCGAAGAAGTAGAGGTAAAAACAACACACAGACGTTGAAATAGTGACATGTCGCGCACAGGCCTATCCTTGCACAGTTTGAGGCCAGCAGATGCACAAACATGTATGACGTGCTGCGTAGTTGTGCGAACAAGGTCAAACCAGTTCCTATGGCTAGGTTATAGGATGTAGTAGGGAACTGTGTGAAAAGATACTGATATAAAAAGCATCCAGACGTTGGCGAGCTGACATGTTGCGCACATGCCTATACTTGCATAGATTCAGGCCAGCAAACGCACAAACATGCGCCACGAGCTGCGTAGTTGTGCTAACGAGATGAAATCAGTTCCTATGGCTAGGGAATAGGATGTAGTAGAGAACTGTGTGAAGAAATAGTGGCAAAAATGTTAAACTGTATTATGCTTGTAGGCTGTAGTGGGGTAGCCAATATGGGGCACAACCCCAACTAGGGTTTCATATTTGTACCCAAACTTCTGCTAGTTCATTCATTCTTGCCTAGTGATTCTGACATGGTATTCAGAGCAGGAGGTCCCTAGGACCTACCGACCGTTTTTTTTTAAGGGCCCACCACCGCTCGCATGCGGTTACCACGCTACCCCGTGCCCTAGCCTCGTAGCGCCCTCGTGCGCCCACGTTAGCGCCCTCGCGCGCCCCTCGTTAGCGCCCTCGCGCGCACCCTCGTTAGCGCCCTCGCGCGCCCCTTCGTTAGCGCCCTCGCGCGCCCCTTCGTTAGCGCCCTCGCGCGCCCCTTGCTAGCGCCCTCGCGCGCCCCTCACTAGCGCCCTCGCGCGCCCCTCGCCGAGCCGCCCGCTCGCAGCCCGCCCGCCCGCTCGCTGCCCGCTTCGCGGCCCGCTCACTACGCAGCCCGCCCGCCCGCTCGCTGCCCGCTTCGCGGCCCGCTCGCTCGCTGCCCGCTTCGCGGCCCGCCCACTTCGCAGCCCGCCCGCCCGCTCGCTGCCCGCTTCGCGGCCCGCCCGCCTCGCAGCCCGCTCGCCCCGCTGCCCGCTTCGCGGCCCGCCCACTTCGCAGCCCGCCCGCCCGCTAGCTGCCCACTTCGCGGCCCGCCCGCATCGCAGCCCGCTCGCCCCGCTGCCCGCTTCGCAGCCCGCCCGCCCGCCCGCTGCCCGCTTCGCGGCCCGCCCGCCTCGCAGCGTCGCCCGCCCGCCGTGCTGCCCGCTTGCAGCGCCGCCTGCCCGCCGCGCTGCCCGCTTCCCGGCCCGTCCGCCGCGCTGCCCACTCGCAGCGTCGCCCTCCCGTCGCGCTGACCGCTTGCAGCGCCGCCTGCCCGTAGCGCCAGCCTCGCCCGCTGCTCTCTATCCGTGCACAGTCGCCTTCCCCTGCTGCGGCAGCTTGCGTTACTCTGTCACACTGTCGCTATGGCTTCCATCCGCGTGCTGTCGTTCGATGCTGAGGGCCGCCCTGTGCGGTTCACCGCTTGGCTAGATGACCTGCAGCTGTTCCTCCTGAGCGATAGCAAGGAGCATGTGTCGCTCTATGACTACGCGTCTGGTGCTGCGCCTGCCCCTCCTGCCACAGCTGAGCTTAGTGTTCGTTCCCACTGGCAGACTCGTGACGCAGCTGCTCGCCTAGCCATTCGCAGTCACCTGCCGTTAGCTGAGCTAGAGCATTTTGGCGACTGCAAATCCGCTAAGGCCCTGTACGACGCTGTCGTCGCTCGCTACTCCTCGCCTGCCACAGCCGAGCTTAGCCGCCTCATGCTGCCGTACCTGTTCCCCGATCTGTCCGCCTTTACTACAGTCGCCGATCTTATCACCCACCTTCGCACTAGTGATGCTCGCCTGCGTGCCGCCCTTCCCACCGAGTTCTGCGCTAAGAACCCCCCTCCACTGTACTGGACACTCCACTTTATAGTCACTCGTCTCCCTGACACCCTCCGCTCAGTTCGAGACCACTTCCTTGCTCGCTGTCCCACTGAGCTCACAGTCGCCCTCCTAGAGGAGCACCTGCTCGCGGCCGAAAAGAGCATTGTAGCTGTCGGTGCTGCTCGTGGCGCTCCTCGCACCCCCATCTTTGAGGGGTGTTCTCCCTCTCCCCTCGCTCCCTCCTACGCTGCTGCTGCTGCTGTTGACTTCCTTGGTGCTGAGTCTGTTGGCGCTGCTTCTGCTCCTGGTGGGAGGCGCCGCACCGGCAAGGGCAAGGGGGGCAAGGGTGGTGGTGGTGGCGCTGGGGGGGGAGGAGGTGGGGGAGGTGGGGGGGGAGGCGGTGCTGGAGGGAGCGGTGGCGGGAGCGCTGGTGGGAGTGGGGTCGGTGGTGGAGACGGGGGCGGCGGAGGAAGCAGTGGCAGTAGTGGCGGCGGCGGCAGTGGCGGCGGTGGCGGTGGTGGCGGTGGTGGCGGTGGCGGTCGGAGCGGTGGTAGTGGTGGCGGCGGAGGTCGGAGTGGAGGCACTGGCTCGGGCCAGAGCTCCCAGCAGCAGCAGCGTCCCCAGACGACCCAGCAGCTTCGTGAGTGGCTTGCTCAGCGTGGGACGTCGGGGGCCAGTGCCCGCTGTTCTTATGTCATTCGCACAGGTGACCGCAAGGGACAGACGTGTGGGAGGTTCCACACCCCGTACCGCTGCTTCTCCCGCCTTGACGACGCTTGGCGTGAGGAGATGGGTGCGGATGTTGAGCGCCCCCGCTGGGCTGAGCTCATGAGGGCTGGTGTTGATGTCTTTGCTCTTGACTATGATGCTATTATTGCTGCCATGTATGCATTGACTGTTAGTGCCGA